CATAGTGTTTAAAATACTGAAGTTGAACAAAAAATGATTGGTTAAAAGTCATGTGAAGTAACGAATCAATCTTTTCATAATTCCAATAAAGTTATTATAGTTAAGTATAGCATGAATCTCATGAAAAATAGAACATTTTTTGTGTTTCTGTCACAGTGAAATATAGTCCTAGCTGGATATTTTGAGGCTGCTTTTCGAGACAAGACTTAGAACTGATTGTTCCATTATTAAAAACAGTCACTGATACTATATATGTTATCATTCTTTACAAATGTGTTATACTAACTATGAGATGTGCATTTCTAAACCATAATAGCATATTTCAAGAGGATAATGCTTACCTTCACAAAATGAAACTTGTAAAGAAGTTTTATACAAAAAATAGTTTATGTGTACTTTCATTATTTGCTCAAAGTTCAGATCTTAATCCTATTGAGAATCTATGAATTGAAGTCAAGAAAAGCATCTGTAAAAAAAAAATTTGCCTTTTAATCTTACTCAATTCAAACGATATGTTATAAGAACATGGAATCAAATTCTAATAAAAACTATCAAAAATTTGGTCAATAATATGTTACAGTGAATTCAGATTATAATTAAAGCAAATGGAGACCTGATCAAATACTAATTATTTAATACTAAATTTGAAGCATATCATACTTTAATAAATATATGAATAAATCTTTTTTAATAAAACTTAAAAATTTAAGTTTTATATTGAATCAAAAAACGTTCAGAGACTTTTAGCAGGGATCTATATTTAAGATATATTTTTTTAAATCTTTTACTTATCAAAAATTAATTATTTATTTTTATAGCTTTTTATAAATTTACTATTCTTTTATTTTTTATAATAAATACTTATTTGATTACATTAAATATAGGTTTTTTAATTTTTTAAAAAATAAACTTAATAATTATAACTTTAGCTATATTATTTACTGAATCTTAATTAATTATTATATAAAATACTAATATATATATTTTTTTAATAAAATTTTTTTATTAATTAATTAATTTTTATATTTTAAAAATAATTAATAAATATTCTTATTTATATTTTTATAACTTTAGTAAGGTTTGTGATAAGCTTTACATGTATTTTGAAGAATATTATTTTTATTAAAAAGCTAAAATATATATTTAATATATATATCTCAACATGAATTAACAAATTACTAATTAAATTGTATTTTAACAAATGTAATTATTTTATTAATAATTTATAATAAATGTTAAATTATTATAATTAATTTTGATATCAAAATTAATTAGCATCAAAATATAATTTTATATTCTATTTATAATAAGTATACTAATTTTTAAATTATATTAATTATATATTAAAAGATATTATATAATTTAATATTATCAGATATTATATAATAAAACTTTAAAGAACTTAAATTAATTAACAAATTTTAATTATACTTTTAAGTATATTAAATTTTTAGTTGAATTTTTTGTTTTAAAGAAATATCTTTAAATTGTATGCTTATATATCATATAGTATAAATGATCTAAAAAATTGCTAAAGTATGAACTTATTATAGAATTTTTGGTTAAAATTTTCATATAGTATATTAAAATTTTTAGTTAAATTTTTTTGTCTTAGTATTTTATGAAAAATCGCTCTTAGAATTTATTTTAAAATATTATAAAATAATGATATGTAATTTAAAATTGTAAAGACATATTAAAATATTTCAAAACCTTATATTCTTTATATTCTTAATGCTTTTTAATGTTAACCTATATAAAATAAAATTTTGATATATTAAAATAAATTAAAATTGGATACTAAAGATTATATAAATAATATATTTCTTGATAACTTAAGTTATAAAAAGTAGCAAGTAGCATTTTAAGATGTTAAATGATTAAAATTGAGCATGTATTAATTTAGAATCAAGAATTAATATTAGTAATATATATTAAAAATTTGTTTGAAGTTATAATTAGATTATTTCTTAATATATTAATTAAATTTTATTCTAAAAGGTTTCTTTTTGCTATATTAAATTTTAAAAATTTAATATTTATAATAATTATAATAGTTTATTCCTTAAATTATTTAGCAGGTAAATTTGTTTGTAAACTTAAAAAAATATAAAATTTTTAATATAATAATTTTAATAATATAATAAGTATATAAAAAATATAATTTAATATATATTTTTTATTAACTTTATTAGAAAAATTTTTTTAAATTTATTAAGAAGTTTTTAAATAATTCAATTTTTAAAATTAAAGTTTTAAAAAATTTATTAAAAATTTCTTTAAAATTTATATGTTTGTTAACTAATTAAATTACTTTACTATTAATAAAAATTATAAATTTCTTAATAAAAATCATTAAAAATTAAAATAATTAGTCTTCATGATAAATTTTATAATATTCTATTATGATTAATATTTTAAAAGTAAATGTTAATAAGATTATCAAAAGTCAATGACAAAATTTTTAAAAATTACAAATTTTTAATTTATAAGTAACTTTAGATTATTTATTATATATATTTATAAAATTAATTTTTTAAATATTTTAATTTTTCATAATTAAAAGGTAATTTATAGTAAATAAGCAGGTAAATTTTGTTGCAAACATTTACAATCTAAGAGATAATATTTATTATAAAATATCAAAAATAAATTTAATAAAAATTTTAGAATCTGTTTATTTTAGATTAATTTGTAATTTTATAATATAAAAAGTTTACTTTTTATTTTTTTATTAGGTTTATTAAAATCTTTTATTTACTTTATAAGCTAAATATTATTTTTTTTAGTAAAAATAAGTTCAGATTTAATATTAATTCAAAAAAAAATTTTTTATGGAAAAGTTGAAAAGGAAAATCAGATCTTTAATTTTAGTTAATTCTCAAAATCTAAGAAAAGACCTTCAGGGAATGTTATTCAGAATCAATCCAGCCAAAATGGACATCGTTATGAATAATATCTCGTCATACATGAAATAAAATGTTATAATAGTGCATAAATGCATAATTACACTTACCTTCTTAACTAAGCTATTAGATATTTTGTACAATGACAAATCAACTTATAAGGACTATCGAGTGACCATCTTTTCATCTTGAACATCTTTGATCAGAAACAAAGAAAATATCATTACAATGAACAAGAAGGTTTGAAAAGAAAAGAAATTGAATTTTTTTTTTTCATGTTTTATATTAACAAACACCATAATTTATATAAAGAAATGAAAAAGTGAATAATAATGTAGCCTTTTTTGGACTAATAGGTACTTTTAATGGGAAAAAGTGGGTCTGGCAAGACTTCTATGCGTAGTATTATCTTCCACAACTATGTCGCAAGAGATACACGACGGTTGGGTGCAACAAGTTGAGTAAATACAAATTTTTTGTTCTAATACTTTTCAAATTTCATTCCTTATTTTGCTAACGTTTTTATTACGACACAAAAGTCGATGTCGAGAACTCTCGTGTACGTTTTCTTGGTAACTTGGTTCTAAACCTTTGGGACTGTGGAGGGTATGTTTATTATATTAACCATAAACTAACTATCCTTTCATATCTTGCAACATTTTTTTTTTTTTTTTTTTTTTTTTTTTTTTTTATTCTTTATTTTATTAGTTAATAAATTGACATGGTACTTTTTTTGAAAGCCAAGAGACATTTATGGAAAATTATTTTGCGGCTCAGCGAGATCATATTTTTCGTAATGTAGAAGTCCTTATTTATGTATTTGATGTAGAATCGCGTGAAATAGAAAGAGATATGCATTATTACCAGGATTGTCTTGAAGCAATACTGGCAAATTCAAAGGATGCAAAGATCTTTTGTTTAATACATAAAATGGATCTAGTACAAGAAGAGCTGAGGAATAAAGTAAGCAAATATTTAAATGATGATTTGTTGGAGAATAGGATAAGCTTAATTTATGATTTTCTCATAGATATTTACTGAGCGATTAAATGAATTGAAAACACGCTCTGAGCCTCTAAAAATTACAGCATTTGCTACATCCATATGGGATGAGACTCTTTATAAAGTAAGTCGAATGACGACTAGCTATTATTATGGTATGCATGATGATTAACACATGATTTTCTCTATTTTAGGCGTGGTCTTCAATAGTACATTCCTTAATTCCAAATGTGAGACAGCTCGAGTCTCATCTTCAAAACTTTGCTACTATATGTGAAGCGGATGAAGTTGTATTATTTGAGCGAACCACATTTCTAGTGATTTCTCATTCAACTAGAATCGAACATTCAGATGTTCATAGGTTTGAGAAAATCAGTAATTATATGAAACAGTTTAAGTTGAGTTGTGGGTGAGTTACTCATAATAAGAAAATTTAAATTTCCATTATTTCCATTGAATATTAGAAACTTGAATGTTGACTCTCTCGTTTCTATAGTAAATTCCAAGCTCAATTTAAAAGCATGGAGATTCGACAGGCAAATTTTGCCGCATTCTTTGACGTTTTGACTGCCAACACATATGTCATGGTTATCATGTCTGATTCATCTGTTGGTATGTACTATAAAGGAAAATTTTCTTTAATTGAAATTTGTTTTTAATCAGCTTTTTGAACTTCATTTAGAATCTGCTGCAACCCAAATGAACATTAGTGTGGCAAGAAAACATTTTGAAAAATTAGAAGTGACTCATATGCCTAGATAATTTAATTCATTAATAATCATTATTTAATAATGCACTTTAGGTTGGAATTCTCTCGTCTTATTTATTTGTAATTTTTAGCAGTTCTATATGTGTATATTCATACATATATATGATTTATTATTATTGTATTATATTTAGTCTTCATCTCTTCTATCTTTTTTCCTATCAAATAAGGTAACTGTAGAAAGAACAGAAACTTTTTTTTTTTTTTTTTTTTTTAAAAAAAAAAAAAGCGATCGGGTATCGCTTTCTGTTAATTTAATCTTAATAAAATAAATTGCCTTGATTGTAAAAAACTAAATTATTTGATATTACGAAAATTTCATTTATTTAAGCTTTTTGTCTTTTTTGTTTAATATATTCTAATCTCAGTTTATCTAGTTCTTCTTGTGTAGTACTAAACACAATCAATATATCCAATAAAATATGATGATAGTTTAGTATGCAACAATATAGACATTTAGCAACATGAAATAAATAGGAACCCTCACAATTTATTTAAACAATTGTTCATGGCTTTTAGTTGGCTTCTACAAGCCCACGCAACCGAAACAACTCTTCCTGTGGTACAATCAACAAATTCTTTTATAACGGTAAGAATTTGGGTAGTTTATAACAATAAAAATAAAATAAAATAAAAATAAATAAATATTTACCTTGAATCAATGATGCACAATTTGTTCTTGCATTCATTTTAAATTTCTTTAGTAATTCTTCTTCTTCCGCACGTGTTAATATATTCATGATTTTATAAAAAAGTAAGTACAAAGAGGGAAAGAAAAAAAAAAAAAAAAAAAAAAAAAAAAAAAAGATCCCGAGATATTTTACGGACGATCGTTTTGTCTTATCGGCCAGGATTATCATAATTCTGCCCAATTAACAAAAAAACATTTTAAATACGACTTTATTTTAAGGATAAAACCTGGTTATTTATTTCTTTATAAAATTTTTAAAAATTAAATTTATTCCAATGATGACTTACAATACAAATTTTTACACGTTATCATTTAAAAATATCTAGATTATATATATATAAAAATACACATATATATTTCATTATTTCACAGAAAGAAAAATAAATTAATTGGTGATAATTACCATCACCTTAACTAACTTACATATTATTATAATTAATTGATAAAATACTAATCAGTTTTGTTATGTTCCCACCAGATACCATTGTTCAATTCAGATTTATTCCATGGATTTCTTAAAGCATTGGAATCTGTGGCATTTGTTTGAGGATTATTGGCATTATTTGCATTATTTGCAACAGTATCGTTAACACCTTTGTGCTGGCTACCGGACGCATTCTTTTGTTTCTTCCTGTTACTCTTTTGCTTACTTTGTTTAGGATAATTATTTCCAAGGTTGTTTGAGCTATTGCGGCTGTGCGCTTTACCATTTTTTTGTTGCGTTGGATGTGACTGAGAACCTTGTTGTGATGTCGTTGGTGAAGGAAGGGCCGATACATTTGTTGAATACGACTGCATTGTCATTAATGGTGGAAGATGAGAATGAGTCTGCATCTGTTGTGTCATCTTTTGTTGTTGCGCAGAATGAAGTTGATGGTGAGAGTGTGGCAATTGAACAACTGGTGGTATGTGAGAAAATTGTTGAAGTGGTACGACTGATTGAACTTCTTGTGGTGGTTGATTGTATTGAAGATGATTAGTAGATGAAAAATGATTAGGAGAATATTGAGACGCTTGTGAATGTTGAAGGTTAATGCCTGATGTCATTATTTGCATAGGCTGTGAACTTTGTAAACTTTGTGAAGACATGTTATTATTAAGAGGACTGAATGTTTGTTGTGAATAAGTGTTTGGAGTGTTTTGTGGCTTGATACGATTATAGTTGGACGATTCGAAATTATTTAAATTATTTGGAATTGATGGGTTGCTGTAAAGCATTTGATCTCGGGAAATACGACGCTCATCCAAGATGTTGTCACTATTCGTAATACGAGGGGTATGCATGGGAGAATTATATGAAATTGTTGATGTACTAGCAGCATTCATCTGTAATCGATTCTTTTCAGCTTCGATCTCACGCAATCGCATCCTTAAATCTGATAATTCGTTGACAATTTCAATTGTCCTATTTTGCAAACTCTGGTTTATTCCACGAGCTTGATTCAATTCCGAAGTACGTAGTTTAACTTCCTCGGCTTTTGCGGACGCTTCTTTTTTCAATTCACTATTATTGTGTCGTAATTGAATAACCTCAGAATTTGTATTGTCAAACTTTTCTTCAAGATCATGACACATTTGCTGTAAATTCTCAATTTGGTTTGCATGATTCTCGGAATCTCTACCGTGTTGACGAAGGTTTTTAATCTCTGTTTCTAATTCATGAGTACGACGTCGATAATGATCCAGTTCAACTGAGTGAGTTTCTAACTCCTTCATTTTCAAACAGGAACGTTCAAGGTCAGAGGCTTGTTTCTCCAATTCCTTAATACGAGGACGTAACTCAACAAGTTCCGCAACTTCTTTTTCTAGCTCCTGGCGAATTTTACTTAATTCACTGACTCTGTTTTCTAAAGACTTCTTACAAGTACGATGAGCAGCGAGTTCGTTTTGGATTGTCTGAATTGTCTCGTTTTCAAGATTACGAGCTAGCTGCATTTCATTACATTCCTTCTTCAGTTTTTCAACTTCATTGTTCATGTTCCTAATCTGAATCGAATCTTGTTCACGTTGAGTTTGAAGTTCGCGATTTATCCTTAGCAGTTCATTCCTCTCACTTTCAAGCTTTTCTTGAACTTTTTTCAACGAATGATAATCACGCACGTCATCAAGCTGGCGCGCAGTATCTTGTAATTCTGCTCGCAAGTTTTCCTCATTACTTTTCCAAGTATTAATATCGAACTCGTACTTTCTACGAGATTCGGCTAGTTCATTTTCTGCTTGCCGAAGTTTAGATTTAAGTTCACTGATGTTGGACTGATGGCTATTTTTTGTGGCAGTATTCTCTTCAAAAAGCTTTTGGTTTTCATTCTGTAAGGTACGAAATTTTTGTATTTGCTCTTCTAACGACAATTCAACTTGTTTATTTTTGTTTCGAACAAGATTGAGTTCACTTTCGTTATTTGAAAACTTGTTTTTGAGTATAATGTTTTCAGACTGCAATTGCCGCTCACGGTTTTGTAATTCTAAAATAAAAGTATCTTGCTTGCGCTCTTTCACCTTGCTTTCTTCAGAAAGTTTGGCGATTTCATTTCTAAGTAAGGTATTTTCTTCAGTCAACTGATTATTCTTAAAACGAAGTTGTGCAATTTCGCCATCGAATTCGCCGAGACGACGACGTAACGTTTGTGAATCTGTCATCTCATCATGAAGTTGCTGTTGACGATCTTGCATCTTTCGATGTTCACTCTGCATCTCTTGCAGACAGGTCTTTAATTCGTCAAGCTGACTAAGCTCTTTTTGGAGCATGTTTTGAAGTTCTACATGACGTCGTTGAACAACACTTGTTGATTGAACTTCCGCTTGAAGTTGAAAGTGTCGTGTTTGCACTTCTTCATGCCTTAACATTAATTCTTCATGAGAAGAAAGAATATCATGTTGATAATTTTGCAATTCTTGTAAAAGCTCTTCTTGCATCTTATTGAATCTTGTTTCTTCGTTCTTTCTTTCAGTTTCTTCAAATAGTCTTACAGTATCATCTTTTCCTTTGTCCGATACGGACGAACTACTACTAATATATTCGGGCCTAGTTTCAACCAATGTTGTTCTAACTTCAGAAACAAGCTTCTCAATATGCTTCTGAACTTGCATCTCAACTCTGCTAACCACTTCGGTTGATAAATTTTTCTGGAACTCTTCCCAGTTTGGAGGACTATTTTCGACAAATTGAACCGGGAAGGGCGTAGGTGGTGCAGCCGGCATGAAGAAAGCCGGTTCGAAAGAATTTGTGACGTAACTACCGTACGAACCTGTTGTGGTGTCAATTGCTGAAAGCTCAGATGGTAGAATCTGTTGGCTCGATTTTTTTGGTTTTCTTTGATAAGTCGGTGATTCAATATCACCATTTACATCTATCACCGCCTAGGTTATTTTATTTGAAATGAGCAGCAATGTTAGTAAATCATTTCCTTTTTAATTGTCGACGGAAAATAAAATGGAGACAAATGATGAGAATTAGCGAACCTTCTCCTTTTTGTTCTTTTTCTTCCGATCTTCAACCTCAATTCTCGAGTCAGAATCAACAGACTTATTCTGATCCGTTGATGAGCCGCTTGAGGCGAAGGAAGGTGTGAAAGACGGCGCTAGAGCATTTAAGTTGCTCTTTCGGCGACGTGCACGTTCTTTTTTGTCGAGGTCCTCGAGATCAGCTTCTCTTTCATCCTCATAAGATTTTGAGGATGAAGCCGCAGTTTCTTCTTCATTTGTTTCTTTTGACTTCCCTGCTGTGGACTGTTGTTTTGACGGGAACGTGAAGTCTTGAGCCAATCTTCCGTAATTTGAGCCCCGGGTCTTTTGCTGATCAGGGACCTTTCCAAGTAGTTTTTCAAGGGCATCAATTGCCCCTTGCGGCATATCTTGTGTTGAGTTCTGGATGGATAATCAATATCATTAAAATCTAATTTTCTTATCGTAACATGATTAAGAATAGTAAAATGAGATGATATAACTAACGTCGTTTTTCGTGCCATTTAAAGCGTTATAAGCGTCGTTGATATCTTTATCCCTCTTCTCCCTCTTCTCTTTCTTGTTTTTCGGGTAATTTACGATGATAATCTTATCATCCGATAAAAACGATGAAGAGAGAAAAATGTCGGGCTTTGTGTTCGTGTCTGGATAACTTTTCTTCGCCTATAATTAGGTAAGACGGGGGTGAGGGGAAGGAAGAAAACAGGATATACAAGGTGATTATTCATTAATAGAACATGGTTTTCACGTGTGATAACATTTCGTCATTTGATGAAAATTATAATATTTTCACTTGTAAACGTAATTAACTCAATCTTTATCAAATTAAGTTCGCGAAAATAATTATCACTAATTCTGTGGTCTTTTGTTTGGATAACGCCGACATGACGAAAAGGAAGTCAAATGAGGCTTTTCATTTACCTCTTCTACTGCAGCCTTTTGGGCCATCTCCTCTTTTCTTTCCCTGGTGGCCTCATCCAGCAACTCGTATTTGCACTTTGGTAGCGATACGGTGGCCAAATTTGTTTTTGTCCTTTTAGCCCTCTTTGGCTGTGCGGGAATAGCTGGAATTGCTGCTGATGTCATTATGTTATTAGTTTTATACAATAGTTTTTTTTATTTACGAGATGAGTTCAATTAAAAATTTACAAAAAGAACAAAATTATGATAGGAGAGTAGTTTATAAGAAAAGCATTTGAAAAAAGAAACCGATAAACAAAAAAAAAAAACGGAATAAATAAGATAATAAATAACAGAGTAAAGAAGAAAAAAAAAATTTTTTTTCTGAAATAAAAAAAAAAAAAAAAAAGGAAAATAAATTAAATATTCGGTGACGAGAAACTTTTTTTTTTTGTTCTCGCGACCAAAAAAATCTGAAAGTAGTGAAATTATAAAAGTCCAAAGGTCGTACAAAACCGACTTTTACGAAGAAAAAGGAAATGATTGTCCAGTAACCATTGAAAAATTCTTCTTTTGTTGAAATGAAAATGATTAAATGGTTTTTTTTATATACATATACATATATATATATATATATATATATATATATATTTCCCTCCCCGACAAAGGTTTATCATGAAATAATTGTTTAGAATTTCCCACCAAAAAAAATTTTTCAATGAACAAAATGAACGAAAATGGGTTATTTTTATAATCCCGGATTTCACTCCGGCAAAATCGCCGTACTCATGCATAACGGTACACAAAACGTTTGTCTGATTTCTCGAAAAATTTATAGCTGAACATTATTATCGAACAATCAATCAACAAACAATGTTACCAATATTTTAAACTCAAAAAGGTTGTTTGATCAATATTGTAACAATAAATTCACACTTATCCAATTATGGAATACGGGGCTGTACGTGGCTGTGGATTTATCGAGAAAATTTTCAAAAAAAATTTTTTTTTATTGTCCAAAAAAAAAAAATTAAAAATTAAAATAGAAATAAAAAAAAAAAATTTTTCATATAATATAATTAATTCATTTTGATTATGTCGATTACGCGAACGGCAAATTTTTCTCGTAAAACAAATGAAACTGATATTAATGTAATGATACATTTGGATTCAGCTGGAAATCAAACAATTGAAATCAATTCTGGCATAGGATTTTTAGATCATGTAATTTTTTTTATGATGAACTTTCCATTTTTTTTTTTTTTATAAAGTTTACCAAGTTCTCATAAAAGTCCATCATCGCTCTTTTACATGAGGAAATAGATGTATCATGCTCTCGCAAAGCACTCGGGTTGGTCACTATCACTAACATGTAAAGGTGACTTGCACATTGATGACCATCATTCCGCAGAAGATACAGCAATTGCTTTGGGACTTGCATTCAAGCAGGCATTGGGCGAACCAAGGGGCATAAAAAGATTTGGCTATGCTTACGCTCCATTAGATGAGGTGATATGCATTTTCAGGATATTTTTTTGGGGGGGAGGAAATTATGACAATTTCTTTTACGTTTTTATTTGTTTACGCATGGACATTTGGCGTTTCCGTAGGCTTTGTCACGCGCTGTTGTTGACATTTCGGGAAGACCGTTTGCGGACATTAATATGGAATTGAAACGAGAAAAAATTGGTGAACTTTCAACTGAAATGATCCCTCACATCTTATCATCTTTTGCCACATCTGCTGGAATTACATTACATGTCGATGTCTTAAAAGGAAAGAATGATCATCACAGGTAAATAATGAAATGATTTGTTCCTTATTCCATTTAATTAACGTAATTCATTATTATAGGGCAGAATCTGCTTTTAAGGCTCTCGCTGGAGCATTAAGACAAGCAATTGAGAGGACTGGGACAAATGACGTCCCCAGTACAAAGGGTGTTTTATAAATAAAGAACTGTCAAATTATAACTTTGTTTTTTTAATTATATTTAAGTAAATCAAAACATGTATATTAAAAAATTAAATGACTTTAATTATGATCTTTGGGATTAATGAAGATTTTTTTTTTTTTTTTTTTGATGAATTTAAATTTCTCAACCTTTAGTCCATTTTTTCTAATGCATTTAATCTTTCTGGAAGAGGTGGATGTGAAAAATGATATGCTGAGTACCACGCGTCATTATTTATATTTCCTAAATTTTTTATTTGAATTTTGATTAATCCTGTACGAAGCTGTTTTCCATAACCCAATTTCTTTGCGAAAGCATCTGGAAAAGAAAAAAAAAAAAAGTCAAAAATGTTGATTCAAAATAAGAAAAAAAGAATTTTTGAAATAAAGTATTTAAAGTTACCGGCTTCGAATTCATGTTTTCTGCTTAATATGTTCATCAAAAATGCAACAACATTCTCAATAGGAGCATAAATGAATTGAAACAATATAAATCCAATCAAAGTTGGCTGTGTTTCAAACCCGAATGATCTATAAAGAACTGTGTTGCTAATAAATTGAGAAAATACAAAGAATAGGAATAAATTGTGAATCTGATAAATGGTAAGAACTTTTACGGAATGATTTAGACTCCAATGTCCTAATTCATGACCTATTAAAAAAAGATATAGATATATATATTTAATAATTATATTGTCAATAGGAACGAATTCAGCAAATATTTGCCTATGTAAAAAATATATAAATTACCCACCAACAACGGCCAATATTTCCTCATTATTCGCTTGTTCTATTAAGGTATCATATATAACAATTTGCTTATTTTTGAAAAATCCATAAAAATAGGCATTAGAATGCCCAGATCTCTTACTACCATCTATTACATGTAATTTTTTGAGAGGGAAATTAATACGGGCGGCTAATGCTTCAATTTGTTCACGAAGTTCACCTTCGGGAAGTGGTGTAACCTTATTGAACAAAGGTTGAATAAGTGTTGGGTAAATGGTAAGTAGTATGAAATTAAAAATTATCCTAAAAAACAATAAATGTACATAAATTAGTTTAAGCCCTTAACGTCAATATTTTTAAATTGGCAAATATGGAAGTCTCGTACTTACATAAACACCCAAACATAAAAGTAGAAATTGTCACCACTCCACTTGATGATTTGTAAACCTAAAGCTATAATTGGAAGACCTATAACCCCAGTAATCAAAAAACCCTTAACCGTGTCCATAACAAATAATCCTAAAGTCATTTTGTTAAAACCATGACGCTCTTCAATAACAAAAGTATAGTAAAGACTTAGAGGGAGGGATATGAAGTATAACATAGTAGTAATTGTTACGGTGAAAATCAATGATTGTGTTATCTAAGAAAAAATATTATTATTTTAGACACTATATACTGACATTCATATATGTAAATTGAAATTTTTTTTAAAAAAAAGAAAAAAACCTCATAATCCGTCCCGTACCCGGCATATGTCAACCACTCTCCAGAGAGATTCCATAACCATGGAAGTACATCCCACACGATTATCCACGTACTTTGTACTTGTCCAAACAAACCCGACACAAACCCAAACTTCGCCTTGTCAAGGCCATACTCTTGTGTTTTATGAAATTTCTCCCGAATTTCTTCAATATCTTGCAGAGATTTTGGTGGATTTGGTTCGCGAAGTTTCCGATATTGACGGACACTTTAATGTTAAAAACAGGTGAGAATCTAAATGGAAATCTCGAAACAATAGATCTATCGTAAAGAGGCAATCATACTGGGATTAATACCCTAAATATTGTTCAAAAATGTAAACGGCCCAAGAAAAGGCTAGTACGAATTCCTTATATGGTGTACCCGGTGCTTTAAGATCGAGGCCAAGTATATCCATCGCGAATTCTTTTCTTGATAAAACAATTGACGAATAAACTTGAATTTTGATTTATTCCGTTTATAACTTTGAGATAGAAAATCACGTGTTGATCATATAATTCACATAATAAATAAGATGTATCACATAATATTTCTTTACCAATAAAAACATTTTATCATAAATATTAACAAGCTTTGTAAGTTTATTTAATCTGAACTTATCTAGAAATTAAAAAATTTTTTTTTTCGCATGAATAACAATAATATATTAAAAAAAAAAAAAAAAAAAGACAATATAAGCAATTTTTTTTTTCTTTCAAATTATTACAAGATTCTAAGAAACTTTCAAAACCATCTATTTAATTTTTTTCACAAATCTCTATAAGAATATATATCATACGTGCATATATATATATATATATATATACGTGAGGAATGTAATTAAACTTACATAAAACTTTTTATATACAAAAAAGATGCAATATAGAATGAGGGTAATTTGTTTGATTGGGTAAAATACAAATGAATGAAATGCAAAGAATATATTGAATAGTATTAAAAAAAATATGGACATATGGACGTGAAAATGCAATATTTATAATGTGTGAAAAATGCAATGCTAAGTTGGATGTTTTATATTGTTTTGTGTCAAAGGTGTCTATAATATTCATCGATATCGTCATCATCACCATTTGCAGCACAAGCATCAGTATCCTGGATCATTATCATGACATTTTCTTGAAATTGTGGTGATGACGGGGTAACATTAATGGTTGGAAGATTTTGATAATGTTCAGGATAAACTGATAACAAATGATCTATGTGACTGACACTTCCTATATCTCCAAAACTTAATGACTGTATTTGGGTGATCTCTTTCAATGACACGGAATTCTCTAAAGTTGAAGAATCTGTCAAGTCATCACTTTCATAATTTTCAACATAACGGTTCGTTCCAAAATCATCATCATTATCATTTTCAACTTGTAACGTTTCATGAATTCCTTTTTGATGATGCGTTGGAATAAGCAAATGTATATCTTCATCAACTTCGTCTATGACGGTTTGGGTGTCTATGCCATCAATTCTTATTTTTAAGCCAGACGTTAAATCGAACGCGGCCTGTTCACTTGGAGTACGATGTCCATTCAAGAACAAAATATTTTTGAAACTAATTTTCTTTTCTTTGCTTATTAAAACATTTGGAGGAGGTAAGATATGTTTTGTGTTAAAAGTTTCAGACTTTCGAAAGGATTTTTTTGGTAATTGCGGTTGTTTTTCGTTAGTATTATTACTGTTGTATGAGGTTGAATTACTTTGGAAACTTCGAAGGGTTCCAGAGTAGGAAGTAGAAGTTTCATCATCTTTACGAGATAAATAACGAGAAATAATACAAAAACCGAAAACTTTATCCAACTTGAGAAGCTTGAGCCATTTTCCATAAGCTGTCATTGCATCTTGTCCTGTACCAAAAAATATGAATACGAAAAATCCAGCTAAAGGTTTAGCATAATCCACAAATGTTACACCATTAGTTTCTCCTGGGAACTTTTCGATATCATTATAATATAATCGATTTTTGTACATGTCATATGGTTCAATACCATCCAAGATATTTGAGAAAAAGTTGAGAAGAGCGGCTGGCAAGGCGAAGATAAGAAACGTAATACAAAAGAAGACTAGACGATAGAATTTTGAAGAGCTAAGCCCGGATTCATTATGCCTTAAGAGTGATTGGATTTCAAGTCTTTTTTTAATTATGGCATACGCGGTCATTCCTATGAAAATAATTAATTTTTTTTAGGATGCGTTTTTTCACGTGACGCCGCGGTTTGCTTGCCAATATAAAATTTATTAGAATTCATACCTGAATAATAACAACCAATTAAAGAAATAATCGGGGGCCATATGTTATTGATGATAATGAAAACCCAATTGATTTGAGCGGGACTAAAACATCCAAGAACAGGGCGGATGGAATATTTTCTTTTTTGCACTAAATAAAATAGGCCCATGAAGATGAGTGGCATTACAATACTAATAATAAAATCTCTTATAGCTCCTCGTCTTTTGACCGTTTCCGTTAAGATAACAGGGTAAGCAACATAGGAGTACAATGTATATATCATACAAGTGATGGAGGCCAAAAGACCGAAATGAGTTGCCACATATATTGGGGAAGAAATTAAACACCAAATTTCTGCTTTATCTTCCAAATTTATAGGATCTGGCCATAAAAGCGAATTCACAAAGATTATGAAATTTGATAATATTATCCATATTGTCATGAATATCGCTCCGTAATTTCGAGTTTGTACATGGAAGATTCCTGGTACGACACACAGAAGGACGGCAAGTCCTGTGGAAGCTGTAAACATAATGTCACCCATTTTATATCATATGAAAAGATATCTTTTTTATAAGTTTATGGCCTCGTTAAAATTCAAATTAAAAAATGAAGGAATTCTTTCTTTTTTTTTTTTGGAATCGGCGACTCGTCGTTGAAAATGTTAATGAGCACCGGGCCTCCAAGAAGATTTTCTTTGCAAAAAATAATAAAATCGATAGATAAATGTATTATAATAACTTTATAAAGATATTTAATGTATGTGTATATGTCTGAAAGTATGGTTAGAAAGGTTGGGAGAGGAAAAAAAGAAAGGGGTTTAGAGGTTTTAGAAGGAGTAATGAGCAAATGTCGAAGACCCAAAAAAAAAAAAAAAAAAAGATAATTAAAAATATAGAATTAGAAAGTGATGGTGGCGGTTTATAATTTTTTTTTCTTTGAAATTTGGAGCAGTCGAATCAACGACTGTTCCAAAAAGAAAAAGAAAAAGAAAAAAAAAAAAACTAAAATTTATTAAAAAACGTAGAACGAGAGAGAATTAAATAAATCAAAAATAAGTGCAAGTGCTTTAATAAAAGAATTGGTACATTTAGAAAAAAAATTTTTTTTTTTTTATATTAATTATAAATTATATACAATTATCGAACAAAGAGATTTTTTTTTATACAATAAAAAAAAAAATTAGATTAATTTAAAGCAATCAATTCAACCAAGGAAAAGAAAGAATATTTAAACACATATATATGCGCCAATCGATAAATTTTCATGCTCTCGTTGTTTAATAAAGCGCGCCCGATAATTAAAAATTGTATTACCAGTACGATAATTTATGCATGAGACAAACATTCCGACGGTAGAAAAACAATAATGAAAAAGAGGGGTAACTCAATTAATTTACATAGCTTTAATACTTTAAAAGAATATAAAGACTAAACATGATCGTTTCTAAAGTGTACCCATTAATTTTCCTTATTTGAATAAAACAAGGAAACCAAAATGAGCAAAACGGGAGGCAGAACAAGGTGGTACAACACAAAAACTAGATGATCTTTTAATTGAACCTTACCTTGTCATGATTAAAAAGGAAATTTTTTTGAAAATACTACATTGGTTAACATTACTTTAAAATAAACAAGGATATTTATTACTTGTTTTTCATTTCAGGAATTCTTTGTTTATTTTAAAGAGGGATTAAATTAATATCACTGTAATCCTAAAAATTTCCTTAATTGTTAAACAGCATTTTAGCCGATTCGGATGTCATTGTTCTCGTGGTGTTGGTATCCTTGATAAAGTTATATTAGGTTGGTTATGTAATTCTTTATTTCGTAGTAAATAAGAATTAGATTGTAAAGATCTGAAAAAAAAAAAAATATACATATTTTTAATCATAAATCTGATTATTGATTTTCTTCTCGCTCTAAAATATTTTAAAAAATATTTTTAATAGAGAGAATGTAATGAGAAGTTATAAATATGTCAGCTTATTGCAATATTTTATTATTTAAATTTTTTTTTTTTTCCTGCGTTTAGTTTTATTAGTTTCCAAAAGTTTTAACGGAAAAATATTGATAACTTGCATATATTTAAAATAATAAAGTAGTATTTCGTGAAATCGAAGTCGGGTTCCGTAATTTAAAAATTCCTAAATTGTATAATACGTCAAAATTAAAAATTTTCCACGCGACAGGAAAAACAAATCACAACATGTAATATTTGGAATCATTGAATCATTGACAACTTATCGTGATATAACTTAATTTTCAATAGTTAAATAGTTATAAATGAACGAAATATATTTTTTAGTTGTTTACCGTGATTGGAAATAAATCTTTTAAACATAAAAACTTTTATTCATTCTGGTTAAACAAAATTTACAAAAATTATGTAATCACCATCATTAAAGATATTTATTATTTCATCGAGCAAATTTAACTTTGCCTTGTGACTCGAACTACCAAATGGTTAATTTATCACGGCCTAAATTGAATCAATGAAGGTATTTATATTTATAGAAATATCGTCAGATTGGCTCGGTGGGTTATATTTATCAACATGTTGTTTGTGATTAGTTTAACAACCTAGTAAATGAACCCGAAAAGTCTAAAGAAATTCCGTGATCGCTGTGACCCGAGTTCCCGTTTTACGTTTGTATTACATGGCGCAGCAAATCATATATAAGTTTGGACGTGAAGGATTTCATCTAATAAAAGTGACGTTTTCTCTCATTATGGTCGAATAATAGTGTGATGATATTAATTTCCCTTGAAGAATTGATGTAAAACGTGGTATTATTGTTAATGCATTAGAGGAGGAACTGTGTTACTGTTAGAGGTTATCCGTGAAGGAAAAAGCAAGCGAGTAAAACATAAAGTCTTGAATAAATGCGTGTTTGGAATTCACGTTGATTTCAACTAACAAAGAGAACATGTGCATCGTGATTACCTTAAGTTGTGACGTATTGATGTTAATTATTACGATTATCTTTTAAACAAAGAACAAATGACGTTGATTTTAATTCATTAAAAAAGAACAATTAAAAAGAAAAATAGATTGATTTGAAAAATTATTCTTTCTTGATAATATTATTAATAATTTAATCTATTTGTTCCTATATATTTTATTTCGGATTCATCTTTATGATTACGAGTTGATGATTTGTGTCCATGTTAATTTGTGAAACACTGTAATAATCACCGCTCACATAATGATTTGGTGACAATCTTCGTATTATATCATCTTGCATATACATTAAATAAGTCTCTTCTATGTCTAACAGAGAAAGAAATATTTACATTCCAAATTTTCAAAAAAAATAAAGAAATACAAACTTACAATAAATTTTATACAGCAATTAAATTTTGAAAAAATACAAGGGATAGTAAAGTAATTATTACCTTTTATTCTCATCATCATTTTTTTTTTTAGTAAAATTAATTGAAATGTTTATAAGTTATGATATAGTTTTTTACCTTACTATTTAGATGATTTATTTAACTTCCAAATTTCACCTAATAATCTATTTTTTTAATGAGAGAGATATATATATATTTCCGATTGTATTACTTTAAATACAAAAATTTATTTTATAAAATAAAAAACTTAATAAAAAAAGTTTTTATAAGAATAAATATTTAAATATTTTATTAAATTAAAATTTCTATAAAGATTATGATTCATTTACTAAATCAGAATGTGTATAAAATTCACAAATTTTACTATCAGAATATCCTATTATATTACATATAGAATTTCAAGATTTATAATAATTGGTATACTTTTAAAAAATAGATTTGATTTTTAGATCAATATTCTTAAAATTGAGCAAAGTCCTTTATATCAATATTCTAGTTTAACTCAATAAATACTTTCAACATATTTATTTCTTCTTAAAGATAATTTGAAACTAATATAAACTAAAGAAAATTATTTTTGATTTTTTGTATATAATTATAAAGCACACTATTACAAATAACAATAATTTATTCATGATTACTTCATTTAATATCAAATATATTCTTAATATATTTAAGAAACTTTCAAACATTAGAAATTAAATTTAAATTAATACCTATTAGATTAAAAACAAATATTTACAACATATTAATTTTACTTATTAAAGATAAAAATCATACAGTACTTATTAGAATCATTAAATAAAGCTTTATTTCTTCAATAATATTATTAATACTTTCCTTTAATAGTTTTTCTTGATTTTTATAATCATTATTATCCTTTTTATCCTGTTTATATTTAAATTTATTTGATTTTTTTTCGAGATATTTGATTATACAGCTGTACTCAATAATATTATTATAAAATCTTTATAATCTAAATTCTTCTTTTTTATTATAATAAATAAATTAATAATTCAGATAGAATAATCATAAATTTTTTTTGTAATTTATTATTATCTTGATTGTTATTCAAAAAATTTTCTAGTTTACTTTAATATAATAATAACTATTTCCTGGATTTTTGTAATATCTAAAAATTGTGAATTTTTATCTAAAATTTATCAGTATTTATTACTAAATACAAGTTATTTATTCATATAAAGAATTTATAGTTAGTGTTAAAAGCTAATAATAATTTATACTAAAGATGTTGTTCATTTCTATTTATTATATACTGTATATATATATATATATATATAATAATAATAATAATAATAATAATAATATAAAAATAAAATGTTATTAATATAGCTTTTGTCTTCTTATAAAATTAAAATTTTTTATATAATTCAATAATTATTAATGTTAATTTAAAGATTTATTATTTAGTTTTTCTTAATTTAACAAAATCATATAGTATATATTGAGAATTTGTAATTTATAGAATTTGTAATATAGAATATTAATATAAAGTTTGATATAAATTACATAATTTTTCAAAAAATTTTATTTGTGTAAACTTTATAAAAGTATAATATTTTTGTTATATAATATTATGTATAACTGAATTTTACCTTAAGGGTAGAATTATCTAATCAGTGATTATATAAAAATTTTAATGAAAAATACTTTTTTGTACAATATATAAAGTAAAATTTACTATATAATGTGTAATCTTATTAAAATCTATTTTCTAAATTTTTGTAATAAAAGACTATTGAATTAGAAATTTTAAGTATAAGTTTATTAGTATTTTTAACTCAAAAAATAGTTTAAAATATATAAAGAATTGTAAATTTTAGTTTAAAGTTGTAAAATATTACTTTTTATTATATAGTTTATTAAGATAGAATAAATTAAATAGAATAACTTTGAAATAAACTTATTTTTATTATTTAAAAGAATTTTTGTTTGAAGTTTTTTATTAAAAAAATGGGTTGTAATAATTAAAACTCTCTTTATATATATAGGAGTAAAATATTTAAATAATTTAAAATCTTGTTTTCTTTAATACAAATTATTAATTTATTTATAGGTAAACTGATCATATATAATAATAGATATTATTTCTTTATTATAAGTTTTAGATAAACATTTTCAATTCTAAGATATTTTGTAAAATTCAAATAGCAATTATTATTATGTC